GCTATATCAGGTAGAACGCAACTAATGGCATCAAGAGATGATATTGATGAAAAGTTCTTGGCAAACAATTCAGCTTTGTCTTTGGGTGAGGTGACAGTCTGAACCATACAAAAGAGGTGGAATTACAGACTTGCCCTTATTATTGATACTATTACTATTAAAGATTCTCCAGAAGTCACGAGAGCCTAGATATGGAACTTTTTTGCTGATAGATATGGAAGTAATGGTTTCGATTAGCAATTGCAGCAGCACAATGTGAGGAAAACCATGGAGAAGAGTGAGGTTTGATCTGGAGTTGTCGAGAGAGAATAAAGGATTCCATGCCAGCCTGAATCCACGAAGTTATGTAAGAAGCACATTTGTCAATAGGGAGACGAAAGATTTCTACCCAGGGGCCATCACGAAGAAAATCACGGAAAGAGTCCCAGTCAGCTTTAAGGAAGTTGTAAGATGTACGATGATAGGGGGATTCTGATCGTAAAGAAGAATGAGATAATAGTTTTAGAGAGACCAAACCATGATCAGAAGCACCTAAGGGTGAGTGTGAAGAAACTGAGCACTGACTAGGATCAGAAACAAGACTTAAGTCGAGTAGAGAAGGTAAATGATTCGGGTTGTCTGGAAAGCGAGAGGAAAGTTGACTATTTGAGTTAGGGATTGAGAAAGACAAAAGTTGTGGGCCTTAATGCCTGCAGAGTTTCTGACACTAGAGCCAAGCCATTCAGTGTGATGAACATTAAAGTCACCGACAACAACAATATTGGCTGATGGATAAAGAATGAGGGCTTAGTCAATATAATCAGAAATAACATCAAGAAGAGTGCAGTCTTGAGATGAGGGAGAGCGATATAGAACAAAGAGAAAGGTGATAGAGATAAGTGGTGCTAAACAAAAGCACATAAAAGAGTAGTCTGTGGATTCAAATCTAGTTTCCCGACAAATGGGTGAATTCTGACGAATGTAAATGCCCGGGCCAAGCATGTGACTATTGGAGTCTTTACGAATTGAAGGAAGATAACCATCAACACTAAGATCACAAGATGAGACAGCTGAACTCAAATTAGTCTCACAAAGAGCAAGTAGGTCTAGTGAACTTTGCAAGAGATAAGACTCAACAGAAGAAAAGATACTTCGAAGACCACGAATATTGGTGAATGATAGGTTTAGCGAACTTGGTGATGACTGTGGTTTTTTGTGTTTTATAGTTTTTGTTACTTTATTCATTTTTAAATTTGTTAAAGAACTTGACTCGAAACATAGATATTACTCAGTACACTGTTTTATAGCTCAAGTAATTGCCTCCTTTCCACTAATAAACCCTAAGCCGTAACAAAGGGCTCCAATGTGGCCTTGGCAATGCTCACCAACAGTACAAACAGGGACACCATCCATGCGCAACATGGCACTGTTAGTACTCTGATATTTTTCAGCTGTTGATGGAATCAGCCTCTCTGAGAGCTACCACAGAGTTCGGGAAACCTGACTACCAGCCGGCCTCAGAACCATAAAACTGAGTTTTAGAGCTGTACCCTCATTTGGAGATAATAGAATGAGTTGCCTAGTCATAAAAACAGAGACACAAGCAAAACCCATGAATCGAGTCAAGAATATCCAGCGTTCAACATCCTAAACTGGAAACAATGTATTAAAAATACATCTGCGCCAGCCTAATAGATGAAGAAGGGGTGCGAGGCTGGTCAACAAATAGAATCTGTTTGCCCCTTAAGTCTTTGCCTAGGAGGCCTTCTACAAAAAAGCAGCCGGATGCACTTAACATCTGCCCAAGATGAGTATTTTTATCGAGACACCATCTCTAGCCTTTACTCAACCAAGAGCCCGAAGGCAGGGGGTGTTTTATGTCGGAGTTTGCATCTCCTAGCCTTTGCCTAAAAAGGCATATCCTACAAGGCAGCATGACATGAAGCAGATTGTACTGGGTTACATGTTACCAGTAGCAGGATAAACCTGACCTGACATTCATATATATATATATATAAAAAGAGAGAGAGGGGGAGGGGAAGTGGAAGAGAGAGCTTCAATATATATATATATATATATATATATATATATATATATATATATATATATATATATATATATATATATATATATATATATATATATATATATATATATATATATATATATATGTATATATATATATATATATATATATATATATATATATATATATATATATATATATATATATATATATATATATATATATATATATATATATATATATATATATATATATATATATATGTATATATATATATATGTATATATATATATATATATATATATATATATATATATATATATATATATATATATATATATATATATATATATATATATATATATATATTGAAAATTAATGAATAGATAAATAAAAAATTCCTATCAAGATAAGAAAAGAATCCAAAAACGGAGGGTTAACCTTAAATAAGGGTACAAATACTTAACATAAACTGCTATCAAGAAAAGGATAGAATCTAGAAATGGATGGCTGACTTTATAATTATAATATTAATTAACTTAATATTACTTTACATTAATAAATAACCTAATAGTACTTTACATTGCGTGCTTATCAAGAAAAGGCAAGAATTCAGAAATGAAGAGCTAACCTTTGGAAAAATGATAGTACACAGATGAAGTGCAAAGTCCTATGGCTTACCTTCTCGTTGGTGCACTTTGTTAAGTAAGTTAGACTTAAAATTACATGTCTTATTTATGAACGAAATAGCCAAGGCAACATTTGTAAAATTTTTTTAAAAGATAAATACTACAAAAGCAATACAAAACAAATTTAGTTATTATTTAATAACATTAAGAGCGGCGTCACTCCTAAAAAAAAACGGTCTGGGGCATTTCCTCCCCACTCTTGCTATGCCTTTTTCTGTCCCTCTACTTTTAAAATTGACTATACTTAAACCCTAGGGATCTTGGGGTGGAGGGGGGAGGTCTATTAAAAAAAACTTCGCATCACCCTTTTAAATTACTTTTATATATATATATATATATATATATATATATATATATATATATATATATATATATATATATATATATATATATATATATATATATATATATATATATATATTTGCAAACCATTGGTACATAAACAACATCACCAGCGTAGTGATGCAGATAATTATCCAATGTTTGGAGAAATTCATAAGCGTTATATGGAGAATTTACTGGGTTCATTGTCGGTATTGCAAAAACAATTTTTTTAATAAATTGTTTAAACAAGAGTATATTTACTACTAACCTGTTCTTCAAATTGCGTAAATAAAAATATAAAATGATTATTTTTTGACCAATAATTTTAATAAAATACTAAATTTTGTTGTACATATGATGATTGTTGCTGGTTTACGCGCCTCAACTTTTTCATTATGCTAATTGTTATTACGTTTTATTGTAAGTACTAATATAATTTTTTACATTAATATGTCCTGAAGAAACAACAATAATTTCAATTTTGTTTTTTTATGAAATATTTTGATTCTCATTAAGAGATAAGAACATAACTTTTTAAGAGATAACATGTTTAACAGACTGTTTTGTTTTGAGTTTATGGATCTAAAGTACCTTGATGTTCCATTTGCTGCGCAGACTTCTGTTTTATAAGTAGAATTTTTTATGGTTTGAATTTTGGTCACTTGAAGTGATTGCTCAAAAGCCTAAATAGTCTTATATAGGCTTTTTTACCCTTTTTAAACCATTTTCAACACGATTGAGTTAAACTTATGTCAAAATTATTTAATTTTTGTTCTTTTCAGAATTAATTCTCAGTTTTATTTTTTCTGATTTATGTCGACCGAGTTAACTTTGCAAAAAACTTTTAAGCAAGATGATTTTAAAATTTTATTCAGAAAGACAAAATATAATTAATGTTAAGTAAATGTAAAATTTCAATTTTAACTATTTAAAACTTTGATATTGATATTTCATTTTTGATGGACCAATCAGCTAAGAGAAAATCTAAAGTAGGTGGAATAGAATCGATGTACCTTAGCTCTGTTAACAAGAGTTTATCTAAGTTTGAAATGAAATTTACATAAAGCCATGTCAAACAGTTAGTTTAACTCAAATGGTTCCAAGAAAAAAGAAGAAGGTGATGATCAGTGACTGATCCAGGGAGGAGTGGGATGCATCTCCCCCCTTCCTTCCCAGAATCTAAATTTCCTAAAATATTTTCAAAATTGACCCTATTTTTTTTAAGGAACGCAAATGTGGTACAAAATACAAAAATATTTCAACATTCCCTCACCATCACGACTAAAAATTCCTGGATCCGTTACTGACCCTGATTAAAAGTTGAATAAGAAACTTTAAAAGTCTGATACTGTTCTATTTCCAAATGATATTTTTAAGAAAACTGCTAATACAGCTGTTAGGGAAGGAATAAATTATAAGCAGCATGCTTCCATAGTTAAAAGTGTAGTTGCTAAACATCTGAAATTTTAGCTTCATTGCAAAAGGATGGAACTTGTTTTTTATCAGTAAATGTTAAATTTTTAATAAATTATGACACATGGTCAAATACTGTTTTTAAACTTTCAGTATCTTTACAGCTTCATAATTATCAGTGTCTTCAGATACTGCTTTTAAATTTTGTTAATAGGCATGATGTAATTTGATTTTTTTTTTATTATTTTGTAAGTAATAAGAATAATATTCGTATATTAACAGAAAGAAATGGTGTTTATTTATAAAAATAGATGGGTTTTTTTTTTAATAAAAACTAAGTAAAAGACTTAATATAGTGACTAAAAATACACTAGCTTAGCCTATTTGCTTTTTTACACCATTTTATCTTATTTTTACTTACATACAAAAAAGTGAGAAAAAAATCAGAGAAAAAATAAATAGAAGCTAAGGCAAAATTATCAATAAATTTTTTGTGAGACCATGTCATCATGATGAGCTTTAGCATAAAAAACCGCAATAGCATAGGTGATGACAAAAAAAAAATTAAGTATAAATATAAAATAAATTGTAAAAAATAAATAAAAATTAAACATAGCGTGTTTATATAGAGTGAAGTAAACGGATAAAATCATATCTAACATTATGTGTCAACTGTCCCGACTGTATCTGTCATTTGAGAAAGTAATGTCGATGATTTCAATGCAACGTTTTTTTCTGGTCTAAATAGTATTATATAAACTTTTCTTGCAAAAATACCTACTATTAAAGTTGTTGCTAAGCAGATTGTGTCTAACATAATTGCTATTGTCTTGAATTCTGCTGATGCCCCAAAAAACACAGGCAAAAATACTATGCGTACGAGAATCGTTGTGTACATGACAAAGCCTATATCACGAGCTTCATTAAGAAATGATGGTACTTTTCGAGTTCTGAATGCATATATAGTAGTGAGACATATGATTAAAATATTATAAGAAATACTAATAAAAAACTCCTCTCTTTCTTTGTGACATTCATTCTCTTGGACAAAATGTGTATTGATCTTGGTTACTTGGCCATCATTTATTTTTCTTGATCGAAGAAGTTCAAAAATTGAAACGCAAATTTGAGGAAAAACTAACAACGATAATATAATTACTTGCCATTGTGGAGTTAAAAACGAAACATCTTGCCGGCCAGAGAAAATTCTTGCTATACGATTTGTTTTAATTAATAGTGAGGAATAACATACGCAAAAAAATATATCAAGACCAATTCGTGTGTTGCAAACTAATTTTCTTTCTAATGATATCATTATAAATGATATAATATATATTGAAAAAATAGAAGCTAGAAGTAAATAACTCATTTCTCTGCCAGAAGCTCGTACTAAAGGCGTTGAGTTGTTCTTTAAAAACGTAACTATAGTAACAATGTTAAGAGAAAATCCAATTAAACTCAACAGTATTATAACAATGATCCACGCTACGCTGATTTTTTTTTGACTACAACCATTACGTGTAGAGTTTGGTATAAAACCCACTGGACATAGTTTACATCTATCTTTACATCTATCATACGCATTAAGTGTCTCTAAATACTCGTTATTATTGCATGTATGGCATTTCCAGCAGCAATCATCTTGTGAGCATCTACGTTTTTGTCCAACACTTTTATTGCACGATTCTTGACACGAACTGTTTTTGTAAAAAATACTTATGTTTTGTTTAAAGATTGTTAGTCTGTTGGAAGATGTGTTTCCCGATTCATTTAAATATCTCCATTCTCCGATTCTTTTAAACACTTCGTCTGAATTGTAGGTTATATCATAGTGGCCATTTACTGGAAATGTTATAATACCACTGGTACCGTTGAATCGTACATTTTTTAAAATTGAAAAAAACAGCGTTCTGTTAACTTCTGAATTATTTTTATGCATCTTGTATTCGCTGATGTTTCCGTTATAAACATTTAAAATATAATCGTGTATCGCTTGTGCGTACGCATAAACTGCGTCCATAACATACGGGATTTTATCATCTCTCTGGTAAGCTACATTTAGGAAGGAGCTTAAGTTATATTTGAACGATTCGTTATTATTCTCTTTGTATAAAAAACCTGCTTGCTCCCAAACTTGTTTATACCAAGGATTTGTTTCCCAAGTGGATTTATCACGTAGTAACAAGTTATGCGATTGGTTGGAAATGCCATGTAATAGACTATAATTTAAATTATTATAAAAATCTTCAACATTCGAAAAATTGTAGTGAGGCGAAAAAATAATAGCATTTTTCGTTTTTATAGGGTATGACGCATCACTTGCTATTAACTGATAATGCGTTGTTAGATTTGCTTTTTCTATCGCTTGTAAAATTTTTTTTGTATCCTGATAATCACAGTAACAAATAATTCCAGTTATATTTCTTTGTGTTTGATTAAACTCTTCAATTATTTTTTTGATATCATCTTCAGAAGCAGTTGTTGGTATTTCTTTTTGACTAGCAACGCAAAATGAACTGTTTTTACTCATTTTCAAAAATTCTGCAAAACCATATTTTCCATATGTTCCCATTGAGTAAAGACCAAACACAGATGTCCAATTCAATTGTTCTATAAAATCAACCATAGCATAGGCTTGAAGCGAATCTTGAGGAACTGTTCTAAGTAAGAAGCTATATTTATTCGGGTCAGAGAGTTCAGTGCTAGTTGCGCCGTACGTTATCTTTAAAACAAATTAAAAAAATGTAGATTTTCTTTTTTTTTTCTTTTAACGAAAATAGGTTTGACGCATATATTTTAGTACTTGTTATATTTAGATCATACTTACCAGGGGAACTTTAAATAATCTTAAAAGAGTTGCTGAGGCCATTGTTGTAAGACTAATAGCGTCTCCAACAACCCCAAAAAAATTTTTTCCCTTGTTTTCTTTAAATTCACATGTTTCTGATCCTCGGGTAGTTATAAACTGAAGAGACTCATCCAATGCTCTTGTTTCTATGCCACACGAATCGCGAACTTCGATACCTAATTTTAAACCAGGCAATAATTTTGAATTACTATTTACCTAAAACAAAAATATGTTAATTAACAGTTTATTTTTACAGACGCAAAAATATTACAAACAAATGTTTCTTATTTCAGACAAGCAAAAAAATTTAAAAAGGTTGTTTTTGTAGCTACATCAACAAAAAGAAATCTGTAAACTTTAGAATGACAGTTTGAAAGAAAGAAACCTTTTTAACAGCATATCTCATTGCTTCAAGCCGAATAATGCCAAGCGTACTTATATCGCTTTCGCACATTTGCTTGTTTATACCGCCACTATCACGAATCGAAACAAGTCCGCCAATCATTACGTCTCCGTCCATTAAAAATGCTTCGTTTTCTGATGCAGTTGTAAACGAGATAATAATAACTAACAAAACAATTGAAATCATTTTATCCCTAAATTTTCAATTTTCTAGTTCAATTGAAATTTGAATGCTTCAATACCATGGCTGTAATATGATTGGTTTAATATTTGATCCAGTTTAAATATAATTGGTTTAGTTTTGCAACAATAAATCTGAAATAAAATATAGATCGAAAATTGATTTTGTACTTTACGAGTTAAACCATTCAAAAAATTAAGAAGCAAAAATGAATTTTTGTATTATAATAACTTACATACATACATACATACATACATACATACATACATACATACATACATACATACATACATACATACATACATACATACATACATACATACATACATACATACATACATACATACATACATACATACATACATACATACATACATACATACATACATACATACATACATACATACATATTTATTTATATTTATTTTATTTATTGATTAAAATGATATTTATAGAGGATAAATACTTTCAGTTATACCAACATGTGTCTTGTTAAAACATCAATTTTTATTTAAAAATAATAAAATGTATATATATATATATATATATATATATATATATATATATATATATATATATATATATATATATATATTATATATATATATATATATATATATATATTTATATTTATATATATATATATATATATATATATATATATATATATATATATATATATATATATATATATATATATATATATATATATATATATTTAATATAAATTTTTTTAATTGTATTTTGTTATTTTATTTTATTAACTAATTCATAAAAAAACAATTTTTAATTAATTAATAAATAATAATAGAATACATATAACAACGTAACAGATAATAATAGAATATATAACAGTGTAATACATAACAGAAAAATTAATTTTCGAGCGAGAGTAGTTTGTTACGAAACTATTTTGAAATTTATAAATAAACACTTAGCGACATACAAAATAAATGAATACACAAACATAATGCTATTATTTTTGTTCAAACAAAACAATACTTGTTTATGGCATAGATAAAAAGTAAATGACTGGAGCATTAAAAGTCAAGTCACCGAACCTCATAGTAACTAGAATATATATTTTAAAACAAAAAAGTACAAATAAGACACTTTGAAATAACTAAATATTTTTTCAAAACTAAATAAATAGATTACATTTATAAATAAATAAATAGAATAACTAACTACTTTTACAACTTCATCTTATTTTTTACATCTTAAACATTTTAATAAATTATTTGCTTACTTTTCTCTACTTTTATACAATCTTATTACTTTTATGTTTTTTTCAAAACAAGCAGTAGTGCTATGCAACAATTTTTCTTCATTTTTTAAGTAAGTTAGCGTTTCTTTCAACTTTTACGTTTACTTTAAAAAAATTTTTTCCACCTCTGCCTTTCTATTTTATAATTACTCTACTTTCATTTTTAATTTTGCAGTTCTATGTTTTCCTTTTAACGACTGACATTTTGTCGAATTTATATCTTTATTTTTGCTTTCTAAGACAACATTTTTATGCTCTATATCTGGGTTAATCTTAATATTATTTATTTTAACCAAGTATTAACTTATTTCGTGAAAGTATTTATCAAATCGTTCTGTAACTACGCTTGCTGTAAATAATTTCATGTTTGATACATAACATTTTGCATTTTTGTTTATTTGCTTTTATTTTCTTTTAATATTTTGCTTTTTAAGTTAATAGTTTTTTGCAACTTTCGTTTTTAAAAATGCGAAAGTAAATAAAATAATTAATTCCAAGCTTGTAACCTGACGAAATACCGATTATGTCATTTTATAACGATTTATGATTATGTTTGGCTCCTGTAGAGAATATATTCACTGGCTTCGATTTGATCAATCTGGAAGATTATTCCAAGTAGAAAGAAATAGGTTAATTAAATATTAAAGTCTGTTGTATTATGTCAAAAAACCAAACGTCCAGTAAGTAAATGTTTGTTTATTAAAAACTAAACGCTATTTGAATTGTTACTTTAAAACTTTTAAACATGCGATTAAATTAAGTTTCCTTTAACTTGTTCTGCTTCATTTAATCAATGAAGAGCTGGAAAGATTAAAGCACTTTTAATACGTCACTAGCTCTCCATCTAACTTAATAAAGCTTTTTTAAATTTTTACTAATCTCCACCATTTTAAATAACGTTTTATCTATTGATGTTATATATCATATCAATAGTTATGGAATATACTTATTTTTCATTATTTAACAAACAAACTAGTATTTTAATATAAAGTTTAGAATTTATATACTTTTAAATTAAAAGTTTTAACAAAGTAAATTGTGTCAATATAAATGGAAGAAAAATTAAGTATCAGTTACGTCGTACTCGATCAAGCTTTTCATAACAGTTCAAACTCAAGTTTGACGCATAAACATGTGACGCAGAAACAGTTATGTAAAGATAGACCAAGCTTCATCTAAAAAGCAATTGTTGACATTTGAAAATTTGCATTTGCACATTGCATTTGAAAATTTACAGAACTAAAAAACTAAATATCATCACGCAGTTTTATATTAAAATAATGTCTTATGTCAGCAAAGAACATGCTATATGCAAACGACGCTGTCATATACTACAGTCATAAACATATCAACAATATTCAAGAGAATCTAATCTAAGTAGTAAAGCAAAGTACTTTAAATAATAATGAACTAATAATTAACCTGAATGTGGAAAAACGAAAGCTAGAAATGCTATTTGGAACGGCAAAAAAAGTAACAAAAATTTACTTTGTTTAAAATACAAAGTCTTACGAATATCTGGTATGTAAATTGGATCCAACGCTATCTCTAAAAAATCATTTTAAAGATTGTTATAGAAATGCATGTAGTGCTAACTAAGTTAAAGATCTTCCTTCCTACAAAGAAACCTATTCTTGTTTATCAAAAAAAAGTTGTTCCAATATTAACATTCAACTCCAACATCAATCTTATTTTTAAAGCCACACACAAAGCCAAACTAAGTTCAATCGATCAAAAAGCAAAAGTAGCCATCACAAACTCAGAGAAATTGAAAAATCATTAATAGAGATTTGTACTTATTTGTAAAGTGTTTAAATAATGAACTTTATAAAAATGTCGCTAATTAATTTGAAACCATTCAACATCAGAAATGTACCAGACAAAGCTTATTTAAGCCTTATCTGAAACATTAATACTTAACAAGAATTCCAAAAACTTGAATTGAGAAAAAACTCATTTTTCATTGCAAGAGACAAACTTTTCAACGAGTTACCATTGAACATTCAAAATAACTCTAATCTGATGAACATTAATTAAATATAAATTAAACAATCGCTTTTTTTTTTTTAATCAACGTGCATTTTACTTAATTTTTTGAATCAACGTGCATTTTACTTAATTTTTTGAATCAACGTGCATTTTACTTAATTTTTTGAATCAACGTGCATTTTACTTAATTTTTTGAATCAACGTGCATTTTACTTAATTTTTACGCTTTTTGTTATTCTTAGATAAAAGTTTTATGTTTTTACAGGACACATGTTCAATTTTATCCTAATCTAATTAATAAAAGTATGCCAAAAGTATAGTGTACAGTGTCTTTACTCCCTCAGCCTCTTAGTTATTTGGCTATGCTGCTATTCACGATCATCAATTCACACCTGTGTTCATTGATTTACTGTGCCCCAGGTAGTGATTCACTGTACCCCAGTACTGGGGCACAGTGAATCACATAACAAAACTTACTTAAACTTTTCTGTGAGCCATTAGATAATAAATATTTTAGTTTTAGTAATTTCTTATCATGAAGGACATATATCTCAATTCTTTCGCTTTGTAAAAAATAAAAAAACATGTTTTAACTTTTTTTAAACTCAATTTAAAAAATAAAGAAATCCAATTCGCTGTGCCCAGACTTTCTCTATAACTGAAAGTGCTTATCCTTTATAAATATCATTTTAATAAATAAAATAAATAAATAAAAAGTGTTGTTTGCAATGTGCCGTATTTTTTATTAATGTTGTCGTTCGATCAACGGTTAAGCGTTTACGAGTATTTTCTTATGAATATTTTAGTTTGGGAAAACTATATTGAAATTTAAAACATTTTAGCAACCGCCTAACGACTTTTAAAGGCTGTCGACGTTGGAATTAAATTTTATATCGTGTTTATAACAGATTAAGCAATCGTTTAATGATCAAGATGTGTATTGTAAAACCATTTGCACTTAAAAAATAGTTATTGTTTATTAATCTATAAAAGTTATGCATAAATAATAGCTATTGTAATGACCAATAATTTTATTATTGGTTTTAAAAATTGGTTCAAAACTGTTTTATTATTGGTTTTATAAATTGGATCAAAGATTTTAATCTAGCTAGCCTTGACTAAAAGTTACTTTTGCATTAAAACAAAGTAAATTTTTTATCTTCTCTTCCTAACTTTGAATAAACTTTTATTCTTTTATTAACTTTTTGTGAAAGTGCAAGGCCGTAGACAACTTTTTTTGATGTTTGAGTTTAGCAACTTTGGAACATGAAGAAAACTCCATATTTAATTATGTTCATATATATGGGGGATGCGGATACTGTGCAAAAAATTGCGGTGATTGGAGACTGGGAACAACAAAACCCCTAAAACGTTAGCTCCCCCAGCCCCAAGCAGGAGGGCAATTATTTAAATTTGTAACTTTTTTTTTTAATCTTAAACTTAATTTATATTTATCGTCAAATTTCAAATTTGATTCAATAACCTCTTGTTAATCGGCTTTTATGACCTTATAAAGTTTACAGCCCCCTCAATTTGAGGGGGCTGTAAACTTTATAAGGAATTGTTTGCTAACTGATTATCGGGTTCAGTTTATTCCAAAATATTGGAATACTGATGTAGACATTCAGATAGTAAACACACTTTTAGAAGATGCCATGTTTTACACAGTGTGAACATCTTATAAATAAAAAAAATTGTTTGTGAGTTTTTTATTAAAGTGTAACAAAATTAAATGCACACATAAATAAAAATAAATATATTAAATATTCATATTTATCTTTTAATCTCTTAATTGTTATGTATACACACACACACACACACACACACACACACACACACACACACACACACACACACACACAAAGCTTAAGTAACTTTTCTCCAAGCATCAATGTTATAACTAGAATAATATTAATGTGACAGTCTGATTAAAAATTATTTTATTCATTTAAAAATTCAACACATTCCCAATTACTAGTTTTAGATATTTTTATGTAGTTTCAAAGCTTTATTTTATATTGAAACAATTACATAATCCATATAAAAAGAAACCCTGAGTTTCAACCTTTTTGTGTATATAAAATATTAGGATTAGCTAACCTCAGGTTTTCTTGTATTATATATGAATAAGTATCAATACTTTTCATGTTTTAACTATATAAAAATATAAATTTTATTTACAAAATTTTACAAATAGGTATTTTAGAATGTATAATTAATAAATCAAGTTTATAACACTAATCTAGTCTTTCTGAGACCTAATTATTACACAATCACTTAGAATAAAATACATATGTTTTCGCCATATAAAATCGAATACATTATTTACCCGGCGAGAGATGAGCTAGCAACTAGCTAGCCGCTACTTATGAATAAAAGACGCGTTAAAGACGTATAAAAAGCGTAGTAATACGTGTTTTAAAAACGTTTTAAAAACGTCTTGCGTCAACTAGCTATCGGTTAACTTGCAAAATTTATTAATAGAGTCCAGGCGGACATCCGCGGATTATGTAACAAATTTATATTCATAATATACATATTGAGCCATGTATCTCAAGTTTCAAATTACTGGACCGCTTTGGACCGCAAAGGTATTCGACTATATAAGTGAAATTATAACTAAAAAAAGTACTTCAAACCTCGTCATTTGAAACCATTTTATTTTATTTATTTATTTTTTTCTTTTTTACTTTTATTATTTTTTTTTTTTTTTTTACTAACTAAGAATATGCAGCTTTGCTTGCCGTTTAAACGATGATATTCCATTTAAGTCTTTTAATTTTTGATTTTTCAAGTTTTTCCATATTTTAGGACCCTGTGACACAATTGAAAATTCAGAACCCCGGGTTTTAGTTTTTTTAATATAATAGTTATGGAAGCTATTTGATCGTAGATTATAACTTTGAGAAAATGATGACGAGAATATGTCTAAAAAAGAATTTGGTAGCATATCATTTTTATATTTGAACATAAAAATAAGAATCTGATATAAATTAAGTTTTTCCAAGTTTAAGACTTTCATATTTGTCATCGCATTGGAAGGATTGTCCATTCTACCTAGATAATGAATTGCTTTACAAGTATGGTTTTGTAAGCCTTGTAGTTTGATTAATTTTGTTTTGTGTGTATTAGCCCACACTATATTAGCATAGGTGAGATGACTGTGAATTAGATTAAAGTAAAGTTTTTTTCTTGAACAGAAATCAAGAAACGGGCGACATTTATATAAAATACCTATTGCAGATGATATTTTTGTTTCAATGTGTCCAATATGATTTCTCCGTGATAAATTTTCATCATTATGAACACCAAGAAACTTTGCATATTTTTCCCGTTTTATTGTTATGTTGTTAATGAGCAATTCTGGAATTTTTAACGGTAGAGACATTGATTGACCTGTTTTATGAAATAAGATGTAGTTGGTTTTTTCACAGTTTAAGGATAGTTTATTTGCTCTAAACCATAAATTAAAGTTTTCCAGTTCAGTATTCATTGTTTCGAACATCGATTTTAAATTACTATGATTATAAAATAAAGTTGTGTCATCAGCATACATTATAGAAGATACTATAGATGATGCTTTATGCATATCATTGATGTAAATTAAAAACAATAACGGTCCTAAGATTGAGCCTTGAGGAAACCCACACTCAATATCAAGAACACTTGAATCTTTGTTTATTACAAACTACATTTTGTTACTCAGATAGCTTTTTACCCATTTATACATTACATTTTTACATTAGTCCTTTGATACCATGTTTTAATT